ATATAATAAGTAAATGTATTGTATAATGTTACATAACATTGATATGTATACACTGTGTGTTCTATAATGTATATAAGATTGAATATTATAGATATATCACACATAACACATAGTATGTATGTATATGTACACAAAACATACATAACACCAAGAAAGAAAAATTATAGATTGCAATATAATACTAAGTGGAGTTAGCTGGACACACAATTTTATCTGTAGCATGATTATAACTATATATAAGAAGCGAAATCCTATACATTACAGGGAAAAAAATTGTCAGAACGACATTGATGGCTAATAATTGTGATTGAACACTATGTTTTTTTCCCCTAACTTTTGCTACTTTCCTGTACTTTTCAAATATTGCTTTATGGCTGGGCGTGGTGGTGCACGCCTATAATCCCAGCACTCGGGAGGCTGAGGCAGGAGGTCCTTGCATGTTCAAGACCAACCTGGGCTACAAAGTGAGCTCAAGACCAGCCTGAACTGCATAGTGAGACCCTGTCTCAAAAAGACGAAACAAAAAACAAAAAATCAAATATTGCTTTATGGATGCAATTCTTTGTTAGAATGTATTCTTTCTGGCTAATAAAGGGCAAACTCTGAAAGAGACCGCAATGGTCTGGCATATAGAGTCTTTGCTGTGGCCTCCAATGCTGCTAACTCATTGGATTCCCTATGCTTTAAGGCGGGAAAGAATTTGAACTTATAGGAGAATGCAGATTAAAACAATAAAATACGACATAATTTTTTTCTTAAAAATGACCTAAGGTTTCCACTAAAATGACATCTCCCAAGAGGCTTAGACTTCTCACCTATTTCCAAAGAACTTGAAAAACTGGCTCCTATCTGATCTCTTGGAAAGTGCCTGGCCTCACATGAATACTTGCTTTAAGAGAACAAGACACACCTTGATAATAGAATCTCTCTCTCACTGTGTGCCTTCCTCTGTATACTATCAGCCAGCCAGTGTATATTATATGAGGATATCCCCCACCTCACCACTGACTAGGACACCAGAGTAGCTAGAGTTAATTAATTAGGATTGGTAAGGACATTTACATCTTCTTAGAACACCAGCAGATCACAGTGAAGAGAATCTAAACACAGTCTCAGATCAATTTCAAGGTGTCAAGATTCTGAGTTTCTCATTCTCATAGATAGAAGAAACACTCTTATTCAGGTGGAAGTAAAAGCTATCCAATTTTATTCTAAAAGAAAGACAGCCATGCAAACTAATTCTCATCCCAAATACTTATATATTTCCTAGTTCTTTTGCTTTATTATCTTACCTTTGTTAAAATCCTTGACCTCAGACTTCTTCCTCACAGTAAACTTTTGTTTGTCTGTCACTTTCCATCTAGTGTGTGTGTGGCCCGAGTCATGCCCAGTTCCGAGGTCTAGCTTTTACCATCCTGTTCATGCATTCCACATTTTATATATCTTGCCTCTTTCTAAAACTACCATGCCTACTGTGAAACAAATGATAGCAAACAGTTCACCTTCTACAAAGCCTCATTCTAGGACACAGTTCAGGGTAGGAGGGGCACACAGTTTCCAGAATTTTCTTACAGTGTTATGGTTTGTGTCTGGGTGTCCCCCCAAAGCCTCATGCAGCCATGGGGCAGGCTTTTAGAGTTTGGTTGATTTTGGGTGTGACAGCTACACCCACCCTGGGGTGGATAGTTTGCATATGTAAGGGAGAGAGAGAGTGTACCCCTGGCCATTTTCTCCCTTGTGTGTGTGCTTGTTGCTTTGCTGTGTTCTGCCGACATGAGCTGCAGCCCTCTGCCATGAGCCACTCTGCCTTATAATCTGCCAAGTACGGACTGAAACTTCCACAAACTGTAAGCAAAATAAACCTTTCCTTCCTTAATTTTAGGCGTCAGGTATTTTGTCCCAGCAATGAGAGAAAAGTAACCAAGACATACAGTAATCATATTTAGGGCAAATTATCAACTCTGGGCTTAAATTTAAAGATTCTAAGAAAAAATTAAGATAATGAATTGTAAATAGAGAGACTTGGTTGATGTTAGGATAGGCAGTGAAGCATTCCTTCATCCAAAGAGGATCCCATTTCTGTATAAAAAGGATACCGAACACTTTTCCCTGACTGCCCTTCAGAAATGCCTGTGGTGGATATTGAAGGTCAGAGATAGCAGCAGGTCATAGTTTTGTTAGAAACGGGACTCAAGAAAACGTGACACCCTTTGCTTCACCATTAGCCTCAGTCCTCCATATGGAAGTGGACACTCTACCTGTTTGCCCTACAGTTTCCCTCCAGACCACCATAACATCTACCACACATTCGTTTCCCACCCCACCCCCAGGAAGACCACAAATCTCTTGACCCAGAGTAAGGTCTGTGTTACGTTTGTTTATTGTTTTGCATTTCCAGCCTTGAACTTAGCACCTGGAACCTACCAAAGCCTCAATACATGTTTATGGCCCATATGAAAAATGAAGAAAAGATACTCAAAGAATCTTCACTGGGGAATCAGTTTCAACAGAGGAAAAACAATGTCATTGGAAAGCTCTATTTTCTTTGCTGGCAGAATGGAAAGCGATCTTTTTTATACTCCACTGACTCATTCTGGACATGGTGTCAGGAACAATATAGGGGCAAAAAACAATTAGTGGGGGAACAAAACAATCAGTCGAACCGTCTGGGATTTGAGTGATATATAGATCAAATGTCTTAGATGCGCGAAGCTCTTTCTCATTTGGCCAGAATGGATGACTCTTGGCCGCACTGTACCAACAATAATTGTCCCTCATATATCCCCAATCAGCTGCCTTTTAATGACTAGTCAGAAGTGACAAGGTAAAAGGTGCAATGACTTTCACTGTACTTAGCAAATATTGGACAAGCTCCCATTGCTTTGCCCTTGGAATATGTGAGCTCATAGGCACCTTACACGGCTGGCTACAGTCATTCTCCCTGTCCCCAACAACCACAAGGACCCTGAGTTGGAAGAGACCAAAAAACACAAAGTGAGGTGACCTTTGGTTCTTACATTGCTTTTGTAAGCAGTAGAAGATCCACAACACCATGGCTTACATCAAAACAGTCTCCTGGATCTCAGAGGACAAGTGACCTTTCTATCTCCCCATGCCAGCACCAGGGTAAGCTACCCAAGAAAGATATTTGGAAAGAGTCCAGGCACTTGATAGACTTATTAGCCCCATGTGGCCTCTTTTTATTCCAGATGGCTGCCTCCTCATTTTAGCTCTTGTACTGATTGATGCTGCTTTGAAACTTCAGTGAATCTGCATTTAAAATGTATAAGCTACAAGAAAACTTCTTTTTTCTCCTTCACTCTAGTGCCCCATATCTTTTCTTGGTATGGAGTTCTCTTGAAATGTGCCTTAACTAGTAATAAGTTGATCCTACAAAAACCACCCTTTAAAAACACCTTCTCAAGTAGGTCACCCAGCGTCGGCTCCAAGCCTCGTCTAAGAGCTCTGCCCATCACCAGACTTTTGACACTTGCACAGTTTCTGGCTACTGATGTTCCTTAGCAGTGTGACCCTGCAAGTATGTCCTCAAGACAGTCTTCTGGTCTCAGAATCTCCATGTCCTCCTGCTCTGGTCCTAGCAGATTCTATGCCACTGCCTTGTATCACTGCTTGATGGCTTCTCATGCATATGTTGCAGCTCCTCAGATAAATAAACAAAATCCTTTGGAGTAGAAACTCTGTCTGTTAGGTGTGGTGTGGTGTCCCAAAGCCCAGAGGTAGGCCTTCAGCAAATACTTGATAACTTTATGGAGTATCCTTTCATCTAAAATAGAAGCTGAGACAACTTGATTTTGTGTTCTTGGCATACAAAAAACTAGCCCAAGTTGAGAGCAAGGTATGGCTCATAGTCAGGAATATCTTCACCTTGATTTTGTTTCTAATTTTTATCTCATTCTTGCCTTGAACTGTAAATTCAGTGTCAGTGTAGGATGGGAACATTGTGAATGGAAAGGGGACCCCCACACACTCTCTGTTCTGTTCTAAAAGCTCAGCCCGCACCCTTTGAGTCACCTTCGTAGTGTACCCTCTTTATTCCATTCAGAACTTTGTTCAGAAGAAACCAAGCATTCAGCCCACTGTGGGCTTCCTTCTGTGCCTCACCTCTGCTGTTCCTCACTCTGTTCCTCGGCACACACGGTCCTTCTGCTTAGCCCACAGTCGGCCTTCACATTTCCTTGCCGAGCTAACTCATAAGCCTATTTCAAGTCTTACTTTCAACATTCTCTGTAGAAACTTTGTCTGGCCCCCTATAAAATCTTGGGTCCCTTTGGAAGGGTACTCCTCTACTTTAAATGATGGTGATCATAATTACACACAGCACTCACTATTGTGTGCTAAGTGCTCACCATATTTCAGGAACTTATTGAATCACTTGATTATCATCACTATCTGCTGACGTAGGTGCCCAGCTACCTTTGCTTTTCAAATGAGGAAATCATGTCTCAGAAACAGTGATTGGCCTGAAATTCACATGAGTCCACGAGGGCCAAATCTCTCCCCCAGTGGCCCCAGAATTCATGTCTGTAACCAATCCATCACTCGGCCTCTTAGAAAGTTCACCATGTCAGTAATTATTTGATTCCACTAGGCCAGCAAACTCCATAAAGACAGCGATAGATAAACCTTGTTCACAATTTGCTTTCTAAAGCCTAACCTGGGTGTGAACCATAGAAAAGGGTAAAGAAGCACACGTTAAATGAGTAAGTGAAACAGCTGGTTGGTAATCCCTCCTGGAATCCCCAAAGAGTCTACTCGCCTTTTCTAAAGGGAACATACTTAATCAAAAGTGTATTATGATCATGTGAGTGCTTATTCTAGTTTCCCGTACTGCCACCCTACCCCAGCCAAACAAAGTCAAGCATTCAGCACAGGAAAGGGCACTTCTGGAAAGCAGTGAACCCAACAAGTCTTTCCTGGAGGAAGAAAAGCAGAGCTAGAGCAAAGGAGGTACAGGGCGCAAGCCGGGCAGGTGCACTCACCCCTCTCGCAGGTTCGGCCCCAATACCCGGTGCCGGTGCAGTCACAGATGAAGCGGTTCCAGCCATCCTTGCACATGGCGTTGTTCTTGCAGGGGTAGCTGTCGCACTGCTTGGCGCTCATGCGGGAACAGGAGGACTTGACCCCCGCTGCGTTCTGCATCTCTGCCAGCTGCCGGATGTTCTTGCTTCGGCCGTCGATGAACAGGTCACGGATGCAGCCTACGTAGCCGTAGTTAAGCATGGCGGTCCAGAGCTCGGTGGGGAGGATGAGGCCCGCGCGGTTCTCTGGCAGCCCGCCGAGGTACATGTCCCCTTCCAGGTCCAGGATCTCGCTCTCCCCGCTGGCGGTGAAGGGCGTGCGCCTGCTGTTCACTGATATGGTACCTGAGGCGGACAGGAGACGCCGCAGTGTGAGTGAAAGGTGCGCATGGCTCTACTATGTTCCCCTCCATGCCCTGATAACCTGCAGGTGGAGCTTAGCCAAGAACCCTGCCAGCGGGTATTTTGGACATTACCACCTATTCATTTTAACTGCAACATGTTTCTTTGTTCATTTAACAATGTATATCTTGCATAGTTCTAGACAAAGGGATGAGCTTGTCGGCCATGTCCATCCTTCCTCTCACTGAGCTGATGTTGCAGAGCAGCAACACAAACAAACAAACAAACAACAACAACAAAGCCCAATAAAGAAGAGAAATTAATAGATGCCAAGATGAGAGTAACATGGGTGCCCCGGGAGTCTCCAATAGTTCTATTCTAAAGTATGTAAATTCCCTATGTTGAATGTGATCATTGTGTATGTCAAAAGAGTACCAATAAAATTAATTTTTAGTAGGAGAACAGAAAGGAAAAAAGGGAAATAAAGCTTTTGTAAATAAGGAGGGGAACAAGGGTTGATGGGAGAGGAGGGAAATGGGGAAGAAAGAATTAAGATATGTCACATACAGGTACAAATTCCTTATAATGAATGTGATCACTGTGGATATCATAAGTGTACCAGGAAAATTAATTTTTTTAAAAAAGTGTGTAGTCTAATGAGGCACAGTTAAGCTGACAGTAGAATACTGAGAAGGACCCAGCCTCACGCATTCTACAGAACAGAAGTGCAAAGTGAGTAGCACCTACCGGGTAATATAAAAGCATCCTGCCAAAACATTTTTCAAAAATTATTATTCTTAAAGTGCTTTAGCAGTACCAAGGTAACCAGCCTGCATCATCCATCAGTCAGCCTTTGCTCCTGGCTGAGCCTCAGTTCCCTCATCAAAGAAGGGTGTGAGCACAAGGGCTGAGAGGATCGAAGGAGATCAAGACTGTAAAGGATGCTCTCAACTACAAAACCAGTGTGAGACTAGAACAGGAAGGATGGAGAGGCATGTGGGCAGGGTTAGCTGATCCTCTACTTTCTCAGTTCTCCTTTAGCAGTTTTCTTTGATTCTTACTGCGTCAGAATCCATCACGACAAAAATAATGCCCTGGCTACCACGTGCTCTTGCATATTTATTTACTTACTTGCTTGCTTGCTTAGTAACTTACTTAATTTTTGGTGCAGAGATGGTACTAAATGGGCTTTGAACTTAAGCACTCACTCTCTTTTGAGTTCGATCCTTGAAACAATCTTGAGAGTCAGGAGTTTTATTTTCTCTCTTATACAAATGAAGAAGCTGAGGTCTGTGCCTCTTAATATCTTCTCTTGCAGTTTCCTTTCTTTACCCTCCACATGTCCACAGGGATAATCTGATCCCCAACTAACAGGGAGGGACATTTATGTCCAGTGAGGACAGTGCTAGAATTGATGTAAAATTTGGATCCTCAAATACATCCTAAAGCACGTTCTCTGAATGTGTGACCAATATTCTTTTGAATGTACTTTTTATTTTTCAGACTTACTCTCCTAATTGAGGTGTGATTGGAAATTTCTAGATCATATTAGCCTTCAAGATGATCAGGAAAAAGATGGCACATTTACATATGTTATACCCATTTTGATAAAAACCCATATTTCCATGGATTTATAATGAAAAATATAGGAGCAAATATAGGAGCAACTTGCCCCATGGGAAAAAAAAGAAGTTTAATGGATCATGTTAAAATGTGAAGTTGTACTGTTTTCCTGGAACAATTATCTGTTTACTCAATAAATTTGTATAGGCTTTGATCAAATTCATCAATATTTGAAACCCAGGTCTATAGCTTGCAGGTGTGAAATTCCAAGCTTTTGAAATGCAAATGCATTTATCAAAGATGGGCCCACTGGTAGTTCTAACAAAACTAAAAAAAACAGTTACCCAACTAGAAAAATATGATTATTGTTGGGAATAAACAGAAACAAACATATGGCACTTTCATGTGCTCTAGCTTATGTGTGACAGATAAATAAATTTTAAACTGTGTCAAAGTCTAGATTAGACACAAAATCCTTTAACCATGACCCAACACACGGTCTTAACCAACAGCAGTTTTTTTCTTTGTGTTTGTTTGTTTGTTTTTATGATTCTGAGACAGCTGTCTAGCTCAGTCCCTGTTGACAACTTAGAGAGAGAGAGAGAGAGAGAGAGAGAGAGAGAGAGAGAGAGAGAGAGGGAGAGAGAGATTGATTTAGCCTCCAGAGAAATTAATTTTTTTATGTTTTTCTCTTTAAAAAGCCCAAACTGTTCATTCTTAGTCAACAAGCACATTTAATTTGAAGCCTCTTGGTTCTGATCAAATTTCAGACAATCAATAGGGATTCCTACTGGGCAATAAAACATCCAGGGCTGCAATCTGCCTCTGCACAGAACCCGCTCGGCTCTCGCTAAGGGCAATGTTGCTCATCTCTGCCACGCTCTAGCTCTGGAATTATGCAGGAGAGTCATCCTACCAAAGCTCAGCCATTTCTGCTTTCCTTCTTCTGGGGAACCTATTGCTCTCACTGACCAAATGCAACTAGGAAGAAAATGACCCAGTGAAGCCCTTTTTATGTTCACGAGGAGAATAAATGCATATAAAATAGCACATGAACCCAAGGCTCTTCTTCACTGTACACTACCTAAATGAGGAACAGAAAATGAATCCAAAGGCAAACGTTCAAATTACCACTTCTTGGGAAACACCCTTTCTGGTAGCAGGGAATGTGACCTGCGGTGCCACAGGGCTAAGCAGACTGTTCAGGCTTTCAGAAGCCCCACACTCTATGCCCCAACACCACTGCACTCACACTCTTACTCTCCCAGAGTGGGTTTGTACTGCCTGGGGCTCATTTGTTTGATCTGCAGCTGCAGAAAACAAACAAAACCATTTAAACCAAATATAAAACGTTATGAGGAAGCAGAGAGAGTTAGTGAGGTCTGAGCCAAGAGTGAAATATAGGCTCTCACACCTAAGGAAGGCTTTAAATTGAGCATGACTTCGGGAAAAATCTATTTGCCTTTTCCTTTGTTGTCATAATTTCTCCCTGCAACATGACTCTTGCCAATTATTTCGGGGTGCACTATTGCAGGAACTCGTACACAGTGAAGCTTATCAAACAGAGCAATCACATAATGCAGCATCTGTGATGTCACAGTTGGTTCTGCAGTGACAAGAAAAAGAAGAAAGGGGGGATATAATACTAGTGACAGAGCTGTCACTCATGAGAATGACTGTGAGGTGAGGAACAGGGAAGATGAACAGGAGAGAATGAGCATCCAAGAGAGAGGCGTCTTGTCCAGAAGCGTAATCATACAACAACTGACACAGAGACGAGCCAAGACATCAGCAAGCATGCAAGTGCAAAACTGCAGCTTCCTCCAGTCTCAGTCACACACCCTGCCTCGTCCTACCTGATCTGCCATCTCTCTGAATGTCCACATGGTACCATTCCCCATCGTTCGCTTTCTTCTGAGTGGCTTTCACTTTGATGGTGCCTGAGCCCATGTCAAGCAGCAAGTACAGGTTGCCATCGAGCAGTTCCACAGCAAAGAAGTCAACTTTTGTGTTCTTCTGGCTCCGAGCGTCTTTCCTCTCTTGGGGCTTTCCATGGGTGAAGAGGATCAGGCCATTGGGCTCAGTGGTGCGGAAATCAAAGGAGATAGAGCCCATGCGTTTGGTGTTCCACTTGGGCAAGCTGATGTAAGCCTCTGGGCTCTCAAAGTTGATGGGGTCCAGTGTGGCCACGTTCTCACACTTGAACACAACTTCACCATAGATTTTCATCTTGGTATCCCCAATCCGGGCCAGGCGAGACAGCTCCAGACGGATGTCATTATTCTTATAAACAACCTGCCAAAAGCCAAACAAAAGTGTCACATGAATCAGTCTTACAAACAGTATCCATCCATCACTCACTGGGTACCCAGAAAAAAAGGTTCAAGAGGCTTCAGGACATAATAGTGTGAACCAACAAGAGAAACATGAGACACAGCACTCAAAAAGGCATCCAGCAAGCTTATTCACAAGCTCTGAATAAGCCTCTGCACTTCCATTACATTCTCTCTGTCTTTGTCTTTCTGGGCAATGTCTTGTGTTGTCAGAAAGTTATACAACATGAGTTTGCATGTTAAAATAAAGACACACTGAGTGGTATAGATGCATATGCTTCCATATAAAGAGAGTTACTAAAGCATTCTTACTACAAGAACAGAAATAATCTAAATGACATTAATAACATATGACACATCTTTATAATAGAATATTATGTGGTCTTGAAAAATGAAGTATTACTTCCGGCTTTGACATGGAGGTCTCCCAAGTCATATTGTTAAGTGAAGCTAGCAAGCAACAGGACAGAATGTGTATTACACTATCATTGTATAGAAGTTGCGGGGAGGGGGTGATGGGGAATGGCATAAGCATACATGCTCATATCAGCATAAAATATCTTTGGAAAGAGATACAGGTTGAGAAGAAGGCTTACTTCTCACTTAACCTCCTGCATTGTTTGACTTTATTTTCTTTCACTTTTTATTTTTTTGTGGTACTGGGAATTGAACTCAGGACTTTATGCTTGCCAGGCAAGCATTTACACCACCGAGCTATATCTCCAGCCCATATTTGACTTTAAAAATCACATGCATGTATGTATTTCTTTTAAAAATGGAGAGTTTTGAGTTGGTGGTGAGGACTTGTGTTTTCTGCAAACTGAGGGTGCACTTAAGATAGCAGTAGAATGACACACCTGACACCCTGGTTCAGCCATTTGGGAACATTTATTTAAATGAGAGTCAGAATTCAAGAAAGCACTGTGCCAGCCACTATCCTGCCCTGTAAGCAGCAGGGATTCTGCCTCCGTGACCTATCCAGGGCACAGTGCCCTTCTGCATGGCCATGCCCACTGTCCCACACAGAGAGGCAGAGAAAATGCCAATTAAAACTCTGCTATGACTTCCCAAATCTTTGAAATCATATAAAAACAAAGATTAATCTAGTTCCCTAAAATTGCAATTTAAATAAGTTTTACTCTTATTAATACTGAATTTTGATGTAGTGTACTGGGATGGTTGTCAGTGCTGTGATCTTTAGTGATGTGACATCCCTACAATCATAATAAGTAAGGAAAAATGGAAAGGAAAGGGACAAACACAACCACTTTGCTGGCTCCTTTACATTATCTTATTCAAATATGAAGTTCGGACTTGGGTTTAGGTCTAAATCCTATACCTTCTATTTTTAAATTATGCAACTTTGGCAAAGTAATTTCTCTGGGTCCTTTTCCTCCTTTGAAAATAAGAATTCATGGGAGGAAACAATTTTGTAAAATGGTTAATTCATGTGATGCGCTGAGAAATAGCACATAGCAAAGATACAGAGTCCTAGCTTATTAGGTAGTGGTGGTTGTGTTTGTTGTGAATCTTGTCTCGTGCTTTCCATAGCCCTGAGAATGCTGTACAGTAGTATCACTTCTACTGCCAGTAACAAGGCGCCAAAATGAGTCTCCCAATCCATTTTTGTGAAAGTTAATTGGATGGGTCATTTTATTGCATATCATTTAATACCTAGCATCCAACTCTAGAACTATTTTTCTTCCCTGCCCCCATTGTCAAGAGAGAATCAAGCAGAACTGTTTGCCTTTTAATAGGTACGACAAGAGTGACATATAATTATGACAAAGCACTGCAAATGTCTCACCTGCTATGTAACCTTGACTGTGGCCCTGACCATAGTCAATATCATTGAGAATAATAATGATCCTAATATTCATTGAATACCTACCACCGGGCACTCTGATCAGGATTTCTCACCTGACATCCTATTAGATCCTGACAACATCCATTTGGGGTGCCTTTAATCATTCCCTTATTTTACAGATGCACCAACAGACACAGAGAGTATTTAGGGACAGCCCCCAGACACAGAGCTGGTAAGTCGCAGAGCAGGACTGGAACAGTGGACACTTGGAACTGAGCCAACCAGCATCACCGGTGAAGTTCATTGTTAACATTGTGGAACGTCACGCATGCTCAGCTTCCCAATTCAGAAGTCGAATTTCTCATTTGAGCTCTATTGGACCGAACAAGTGCAAGGGGAAATCCCAAAGGACCCTTCCACAATTACTCAAGTGAGTGAACTAGAAAAGAAACAACGGAAGTCATACAATGGGCAACTTCTCTTTTCTAACTTCCACTACTATGCTTCAGCATGAGAGATCTCCGTGCCAAAACCAAACTTAGACTCCTCCTGCATTTGGGTGAAGTGTCTATGACCACAGCTCCCTGGAAAGGTTGTTTATCATTTGATAACAATAGCTCATCCTAAAGGGATAAACAGAGGCTTCTCTCCGGAAGATAATAAATGGAAAGAGAGTGCATGCATACATCCCTATGAGAAGTGAGAGCAGAAGAGAAAATAAAAGAGCCCTTAAAGGAGTGTGAAGATGATCTTGCTTGAGACAGGCACATCACTGGCACCTGAACCAACGCACACAGTTCTGGAGAGACAGGCCAGACAGTGGCTAGGCAGAGATAATTAGACTTCTCTCAAAGCTTCTTGGAAGGTGAGCTCTCCAGCCCTGTCATTACTGTGTATTTATTTGGAGTTTCCCCTATGCTGAAAAAAGTAAATGCATTTCTCTGGGGAACCTTTCTGGGTCACATTTTTTATGTCAAAAAAAAGGGGGGAGCCTCAAGACCAGTGCTGCAAACTGGCCCCTTTTTCCTCCCAGGGCTGTTGTCAGATCAAACGGGGTGTCATGCATGTTAAAACACAGAGTATTCTAGGCTTGCACCCAAACCCAGGAAAAATAATAGTAAGTCCTCTTCAGCAGTGCTGGGGTTCTGGCGGCAACCTAGGGCGCCTTGAAATGAGGTTCCTGGAGGGTCTCCTACCAAGAAGAAAGGGACAGGGCGTGAGGGCCTTGCAGCCCAGTGGTTCTCAGCTGAGAAGTTCATTGCTGACATCCCCACCATCCCTACCTACTCACCCACTCTGTGCAAAGCTGCAGCCCTAGCCATGCAGAAGTTCTCTGGCGCTCTGGGTGCCACAGCATGGGGGCAGGGCCCCCTATAAGACCCTTCCCAGGCTGAATTAGCATCTGGTACAGTGAGCTTCCCCGGTAAAATCAGGCTCTCATCTAAGTGAATGTCCCCAACTGACAACTAGAAAGAGATGTAGCATCAAGTGACAGAAAACAGCCTTGGTTGACAAGTTACCCCAACAGGGAACAATTAAAGACATAGCACAAATGACTTCCCCTGGGGGAAGATGTCACACAGCCTGGAAGGCACAGAGGCAGAATCACAAAGGGTGGCGGGCCGGTCTTACTACCCACTTATGGGTTTGTAAAGACTGCTGTTTGGACTTGTACATCATGCTTAACAACCCAGACAGTAGAACAGCTGAGGTCAGAGTCTCAGAGTTAAGATGAAGTCCCTGAGCAAATGCACTTGTGTTGCTCTAGAGTCCTTGCTATGGAAATGTAGAGGATCAGCCAGGAGTGAGGCAAGCTCTGAGTGGTGAAACAACGTGATGAAAACTGTTACCACCAATGGATAGTCTACTGTGTGCCAGGCTCTATCACTCACAGTGAGTACGTGAAACAGGTAACAGTAGTCCTACTTTGCAGACATGAGGCTCAGAGATGGGTATTTTCCCCAAATCACATGGCTGATTAATCTGTCTCTCACTGCAATGGGGCCAGATAATTTTGGGATGGCAGTATCTAGACCCTTCACCAGTCCATGCCTATACATAAGGTAGAAAGCCCTTCGTCATGTACAACAACCACACCAAACTTCATCTTCACATGCAAAGCACTTCACACCTAATAGGCTCTCTCTCTGATGGACTCTTATATCTGCCCAATCGGGAGTCACATTGGACCCCTGTCTGAGCTCAGGTGTTAGTGCTTCTGCATTGCTGCTAATCATGTATCCCAGTCTGCAATGCCTTCCTCACCCCTCCAAGCTACTGAAACGATATGCCCAGACCTACATCGAAACTCATTTCAGACCTTCCCTGGGCACTCTGGTACTTGCTGATTCCCACTGCTTGATAAATTAGAATCCTTATGTTGCCTGCTAATGATGAAGCTGACAGTAGGGTCCAAAGTACTTGTCTTGATTGGAAAATAAGAGCATTCTTCCCCTGGGTAATGCACTTGTTACATTAAACTCTTCCACTATACCCGAGTTACAAGCCAGGTCCCCATGAATAAGTCTAAAGGTTAGACAGTCCCACCTCACAGAAGCGTTTTCTTCTCTCCCTCTTCCATTTTATCCCAGGACATTCTGTTTCAACTTCCTGATAAGGTCTGTCCTTATGTTCTGTTATAAATGTCACATCCCTCTGCACTGTGACAAGGAACCGAAGGCATGGGGTAATATGGACGTATGCCCTGCCATAGCCAGAGGGCCTCTTGACATGATTCCTTTCTTGTAGAGAAATGGGCCTTTTTCTTTTTCTCTTGTTTTTAAAACACCTTTAGATTTTCTTTGGGTCTACATATAGAATGGTTTCAGTAAAACCACCAGGTCAGCTTTTAAGGCCAAATGGTTCATAGGTATGGGACCTGGCCACCGGGCTCCGCTGTGCTATTCCAGGTCACTGGAGGATGTCTGAAGTTAAGGGCAGTGGGGAACATTCTTGGCATGTAAGCTGACAGCATGGAACGATGGAGAAGCCACTGTCAGCCCCTTGAGAGGAGCGACTTTGACCACAAAGGCCAGGAAAGCTTTCAACTTTACATCAATACATGGAGCTACTTACAACCACCAAAAGACAAAGATGTATTTATTCCCCACTCCAGTTCAATCTTCTGACAACAGATAATGAGCAAATTAACTTTT